AAAAGGTGGTAGTAGTGGTTAACTCAATAACTTCTTTAATCAACCAAAGTAACAAATACAAATTTGCATTAGTCATGTCAAACAAAATGTATACTTACTTCTAAAATTAAAATAAAACAATGACGCTTTAATCAAACTAGATTAATGACAAGCTTCTTTGAAATAACTAAACCCAGTGATACAAGCACGGACACTGTAGAAACTCTTGGCCAAGAGTAATTTTGTACTTGCCCTTTGAAGCGGATCAAGTCCGACTCCAGCTGAAGGGAGGGAGGAAGTAGAATGAACAGTTTTGCCGATTCCAAACTTAGGTAAAACAACTAGATACACTGTAAAAAATCCCAGACACTTGGAGGTGTAAGTGGTGTGGAAAAGTCTTGAACATAACCCCAAACTATTTACATTCAACAAAGGCCCGCTTACAGGGAACCGCGGATAAGAAGGGTTTGTATAACAGAGGCTCCAAGTGAGGCTTATACAAGACAATAAGAAATGTTCCTTGTCGTTGCCTCCTCCCTCCCTTCCTCACCCCCCCCCCCCCCGTCACACTTCTCCTCCAGCCATTGTTACAAGGATAAAGTGGTTATTCGCCCAATCTCATCAAGGGTTCAGTGTAATACCTCAGTATTTATTACACTCATAACTCCTCACAGGAAAAGAGTGGGTGTGCCTTCGAGTGACAAAACAAAAGATTTAATTGGATGTAATGTACATAAGAATAATACCCCCGTCTCAGCAAACCTGCATACTAAGCAAATTTCAACTTGTCTGATTACATTTTTACTAAAATACTTCCATAAATAGGACATATTTATTCCCAATTTAAATAACGTTACATTTAACGAGTGCTTAGGTTTTGCTGCTACGGGGAAGGTAAAAAGTGTTTTATGACCATACGTCAATAGCAAAGGATGAAATAAATAAATTTGCCAAATTTTATCAACATATATCCATAAACAAGTAAACTACAACAGTTTTCATTTTCTCCATGACATGGGAATTTTAAATGACACTTTTTTGTAAATTTTCTCCGTAACCGTTAGGCATACAACAGCACTTCAATATACTAAATTATTTCCTTTTTTAAGCTCTACAAAATGAGTTAGAATGAAATTACAAGTTTTATTGTTTTTAGGGTCATAAATAGGAAAACCCCGTTTTTACCTTAAATATATATGCATTTGAACTGATGGTGTTTTTTGTCCTCTGGGGACCTCAAAACGAAAAATTAAATCGGTCCCAGGTCCAGGAATTACCATGAGACCTACGGCAATAACTTAGTCCTATATGGGAAATTTGCTAAAACAATACGAAGAACATAAGTTTGTGTCTACGAATAATGAAGCTGGTGGAATTGATCTCGGGTATTAGTATTATCATATTCATATGTATAATTTGCTCTTAGAATTCCAAATAAATATGTAGCCCATTAAAAACTACGCAATACGCTCCCTTTTAGATACAGTTAATAGAATAGGCAAAATAAGTAATCATTTCGGTCGCAGTATTTAGTAGGTATAGTTTTGTAGACAATAATTTTACTTTCTGCACATTCAAACAACTGCCGATCGTGAAAATTACCTTGCTTGTATTTTAATTTAAAATAGACAATCAGTGAAATAAATGAGATTAAACATTCCATGAACTACTGAGGTTCAGGAATCATTACCACAACAAATAAGTTTATGTTCTATATTCAATATTTAAACGACAAGAAAGCTTTTTAAGACGATTTTGCTATTTCGTTAGCATTGTACGAACACAGCTAGTTACACCGGGAACTCCTTTATCAATCGCTCTACAAATAAAATTATAGAAGAAAAACATACTGCTCAACAAAAATGAATAAATCGGAACCTACAATGAACCAAATGAATTTATTTTTCAAAATTACAAAATGAAAATGACTACAAATGCTGACATACATTTCCGTTAGATTTGTAACGGTTACAGTTTAACTATATTTATCAAAGGGTAGTTTTAGTACCTATAAATACACCATAATCAGATTCATTACCTCCATTAACTTCCATTAATTAGCTGTAAACTTGTGGTAGTGATTATATGGAACAGAGGCTATCGTGGTTTTGTAACGTACGTTGGACCGAAACAGCGTGAAATATAATCATTCCGGTTCGATAAATGTAGGCCTATGACTATGTTGACCATTATCTAAACATAATTGAGCGAAGCTCTTATACGTCGACTCTTATGCTTTTCGTAATACGCAAACTCCTCCTAGACGGCTGAATCAATCGTTTTCAAATTTTGCGTGGTGATAAAGACCATATCGGTGAGAGCCAACATTTATATGGCGTTAAAAAAGTCTCTCAGGAATCCGCCCCACTGGGTCTCAAAGTTTCAATGTAATCCATATGGAAGCAGTATTTGACACATAAACAAAGACATATGATCAGCTGTTGACTTTTAAATGCAGTAGATAAAGAAATAGCTAATAGCATTATTCCACAGATATTAGAATAGAAGCGGTATGTATCATAAATATAATCAAATGACGACACTAGCTTGAGGTCCGTGACGTAGGAAGTGGTGCAGGAAGTAGTAAAGGTGAGCAGTCTGGAGTGTGGAAGCTGTTTATGACGATTATATTTAGGTATCTGCATTCCTAAAATTCTACGGGAAGGCAGGGAAACGGGTCCGCGACGTAGGAAATGGCGAAGGAAGTAGTCAAGGCGAGTTGTCCGGAGTGTGGGATCTGTTTATGACCAAAACATTAAGGTATTTGCAATCCAATAATGCTAAGGAAAGGGAAACAAGTCCGCGACGTGGAAATTGGTAAAGGAAGTAGTAAAGGTGAGCTGTTCGGGGTATTTGATCTGTTAATGACCATTAGATTAGGGTATTTGCAATCCTATGATGCTATGGGAAGGGAGGGAAACAGGTCCGTGACGTAGGAAGTGGTGATGGAAGTAGTAAAGGCAAGCAGTCCGGACTGTGGGAACTGTTTGTGACGATTTGATTAAGGTATCTGCAATCCTAAAATTATATGGGAAGGGAGGAAAAAAGGTCCGCGACGTAGGTAGTGGTGAAGGAAGTAGTCAAGGCAAGCTGTCTGGAGTGTGGAAACTGTTTATGACGATTAGATTAAGGTATCTGCAATCCTAAAATGCTACGGGAAGGGAGGAAAACAGGTCCGCGATGTAGGAAGTGGTGAAGGAAGTAGTCTAGGCGAGCTATTCGGAGTGTGGGAACTGTTTATGACGATTAGATTAAGGTATCTGCAATCCTAAAATGTTTTGGAAAGGGAGGGAAACAGGTCCGTGACGTAGGAAGTGATGAAAGTAGTAGTCAAGGCGAGTTGTCCGGAGTGTGGGATCTGTTTTTGACAAATAGATTAAGGTATTTGCAATCCAATAATGCCAAGGGAAGGGAAGTAAACAGGTACGTGACGTAAGGAGAGGTGAAGGTAGTAGTAAGGTGAGCAGTGTGGGAACTGGAAACCGTTTGTAGCAGTTAGATTAATGTATCTGCAATGCTGAAATGCTATGAGAAGGGATGGAAGCATGCCCACGACATAGAAAATGGTGAAAGAATTAGTAAAGGCCAGCAGTGCGGAGTGTGGGCAATGTTTGTGGCAATTAGATTAACGTATGTAGAATACTAAAATGCTATGGACAGTGATGAAAACAGGTCCACGATGTAGAAAGTGGCTTAGGAAGTAGTAAAGTATGAGCATAGTGTGAGAACCGTCTGGGGCAGTTAGATTAATGTATCTTCAATCCTAAAATTCTATGAGAAGGAAAGGAATCATGCCCCACGACGTAGGAAGTGGTGAAGGAAGTAGTAAAGGATAGCAGTGCAGAGTGGGGGAACCGTTTGGGCAGTTAGATAAATGTATCTAATACTTAAATGCTATGAGAAGGGAAGGAAACGGGTCTATGACGTAGGAAATGGTGAAGGAAGTGGTAAGGCTTGCAGAGCAGAGTGTAGGAACTGTATTTGGCAATTACATTAATGTATCTGCAATCATAAAATGCTATGGAAAGAGAGGGAAACAGGTCCACGACGTAGGGGGTGGTGAAGGAAGTAGTAAAAGTGAGCAGTGTTGAATGTGGGAATGGATTAATGTATCTTCAATGCTAAAATGCTATGGAAAGAGACTGTAAATTGTAGGTTAAAATGATTACGAAGCACGAATCGATACATGCAATCGTTTACAATAGAAATTTACAACTGAGTTGACAACAGCTGATTTTTACTCCATAGATTCTAAAACGATTTTTACTCCATAAAGAGTAAAAATGCTACTTTAGTCCCGCAACGCATGCATTAAAAACGACTGTTTTTACTGCAGTAGGCTATGACAAAAACAATATAATATGAACCCTTGATGACTCCGCTCAATTTTTTGGATGCCCCTGCGAATGCCACCTAGTTTTAATTACAGAGAATTAAGATATTCTCTTAATAGTTTTAAAGGAACTGATAATTATTGTTTTGACTAACTTGTATTTATTATAACCAACATAGAGCAGAAAAATATTTAATAATATAATTATTATTAATTTATATAATAATTATTTATAATAAAACATTTATAATATAATAATTATTATTATTAATATATATAATAATTAATAATAATATAATTTAATAATAAGACGATTCAATCAATTGAATAGTCAAAAATATTTGGACATTAATAATAAAAACCAAAACCGGAATTCCCTTTTCATTTTCTCAGCGTTTATGCTGTTTTGCCATTTTTAATTACACGTTAAGTAGCCTATAAGTCATTTTGTAGAAATTTGAAATATAGTTCCTAATTCCTGGTTCAATAATGTTATTTTAAATACTTTCGATCTGTTGCTATAAAGTAGCATTGTCTATTATGTGTGTGTACATATTAATTAAATCAAACTTCAAGTTTCAAATTAAATCTAGTATAAATACTAGTTTCACACTTTTTGCCAGGTTCCTAAACTTAACCACAAATAAACCTACCAATTTCTGTTGATTAAAAATTGTTTTATTTTCAGAAATGACATCAGCAGCCGAAAAGAAGCTTAACCTGGAGCGGGCCACAAACTTCATGCGACAGTACCGAGACCCGCAGTCCCGTGAACTCAAGAAGTTGTCCGCCAACCAGTTCATGGAGGTCTGGAGTCATTACGACAAAGACGGTCAGTCCGAGAACTAGGAGAAATAGTAAATTATTGTAAGAAGGGTAGAAAGAACAACATCAAGGAGTCAAAGTTAGTGTACAAAACAATTTAAAAAAATAGCTCGATTGTCAATAAAATTTAATGAAGAGAGAATAAACCTAATGGTAAATGATAAGCGGTAGTAGAATGGTTGAAATTTTGAGGAAACTACACCATATTCGTAAATGAAATAAAACAAGTAGAAAAAAATAACATGATCACAAGGTAACTTGAAAAAATTGGAAGGCTTAGACTAATTAAGATAACCCAGTAATAGACTTAGGTAAACTGTAGTCTCGATTTTGTTAACTATTTTTTTTCTAGACAGGTAATATTTTTATGTAAATTATTTTTAAATGCGATAAGCAATTACAGTAAAATAATTTCCAAACTTACTATAGTCTTCAGCTTACAAAACTGTGTGATTCCATTGTTCGTAAGCACAATCTATGAGATGACAAATGGACTCGGTAGAATTGAAGGTCAAACATTTAAAGAAATTCAAGCTCTTAAAAGATACAAATGGAAGGTTGACACGTATGCATCTTCATCTCAAACTAATCCTTCTCAGTTTATTACAGTATCGTTATAAAAACATTATATAAAATATTATATTCTTTTGGATTCTTCGGTTTAAATAATTGAGGGTTGCATTTAATAATGCGAAAATATTATATTCACAATCTTCTTAATACCAAACGTTATAGAATTAAAACATAATATAATCATGCACATAATGCAATTATTGGCTAAGCCGTTGGCATGTATAAATAAAATAAAATAAAATGCATGACAATGTTCGTTGTTATGGACAGGTAGTGATATATTTTCATTATTGCAATATACAGATTGAGAGAGATTTTCATTTCAATTTCAAACAAACTCAAACAACCCTCTCGACAAGAGAGTGAAATAACTGACAGTAAAATAATTTCCAAAAGAAAGATAATCCAATATTGATTAATGGATTGGTTCTGAAAGCTTCGACAATCTGAAATAATTCGTTTCTAAACGATTTCAATTAGTTAGGCTTTGGAAATCTTTCAAGCTAAATGCACCTGTTTAGTTAAATCTCTAGAATTGAAGCGAAAAAAAAACTCCGCAGAATCAAACATCAGAGGTTATGGAATATGTCTATTTTAACATAATGATACTAGACTAACGACTCCTTACCGTAATTAAGTTTGTACCGCAAATCGTTGTTGTATAAAATAATAACAATGCTTGGCTTAAAAGTTACTATAAATCAACCAAATGTTTAGTACTTTGTGGTTAGTTTTTTTAACCAAATGTTTTGTCTAATTAATCGATGTTACTGGGTCAACTTGCCTTCGTTAATGCTTTAGCCTGAATAGTTTATGTATCATACACCTGAATCCAATTAATTTCAAGCCATCAAACTTAAATATAGCTTTTCTTAGGATCGAAACAACAGTTAAGTGAGCTACGTAACCAAATACTCAACTAGGCTACAATACAGTAAGAGATTCTTGCTTCTCAGTTTTAGGTTGATCTACATAATTAGAACTTTATCGATTCGTAACTTTAATGCTTTTAATTTAAAGTAACTATACATAAGAAGTTCTTTAATTCCCTGACGTTCAATGTCCATTATCTGTTACAGGCAATGGGTATATAGAAGGGACGGAACTAGATGGGTTTTTGAGAGAATTTGTATCCAGTGCCAACGCAGAAAACGTCAGCCCTGAGGTAGGTTTGAGCTCTTGCAATATGCTTAGAAAAGTTACCCAAAAACATTTAAAAGGATTCGAAGAATCGAAACTGAACAATTTATGGTTTAGGTTTTGATTAAACCTATTATTTTTTTCTATCTTACATCACAGTTATCACAATAGATACAGACATAACTTTGGATACCGAACTCCACAACTAGCCCATAGTTCGTTGGAAAATGACGTATTTTACATAGCTCACATCCTTTACCGCAACTTGCCGCCCAACATAACTGATGCTGAATCAGGCAGTGTCGCTGTATACAGTATAAAAGCAAGGTCTGTGAGTGGCTGATGTAGGACGAGAGGCTGCAGAGGCTATAATTCGCTCGCCTTACATTTAAATTCACCTCTTACCTCAAACACCGCCATAATGGCTATCAACATACACTTTTCTATAGAATAATGTACATATACTGTATTTTTATTGTTGTGCTTAAGGTTCTTTATTTGTTAAATAATATTCTAGTATACATTTATATTTTTAAGAGCTCCTGATATGTATCCAAGAGTTTAGACGTACACATTATTTATAAAATGTGCTCCTGTGTTTGATCTATGTACAATACATGTTTTCTGCTGGTAAGAGCTCTTCCCTCGAGCACGGACTTGTATTCTTACCAATGATTACGTATTCATGTATATTTCAAGCTGAATAAAGCGATTTTTGATTTGATTTGATTTGATTAATAAAGTAAAATATTGAGATGGGCTAGTAATATAACATTAAAAATTCATTTTTCTTAAGGTAACGACACTTTATATAAAAAAAAAAAACAATAATAAAAATAAAAACTAAACGCATAGTGTCTATCAAATCAAATCATCTTTATTTCGAACAGAAAATCTGTATAACAGCGTCACAAAAATATAATAATTTATAAATAAAAAACTTTTTTAAACAAAACGTTTTTAAACGCCCTAAAAAGTAGAAAATAATTTACAAATAATTTATAAATATGTTGAGAGAGTATAAATACTTGTACGATTTAAAACGAAAAACATTGGGTGCATGCAATTAAATGATAATAATACATTAGTTCAGTAGGTGAAGATAATTGTAAACTATCTATTGCATGCACCCCACGTTTTTCGTTTTAAATCGTACAAGTATTTATACTCTCTCAACATATTTATAAATTATTTGTAAATTATTTTCTACTTTTTAGGGCGTTTAAAAACGTTTTGTTTAAAAAAGTTTTTTATTTATAAATTATTTTATACTTTTTAGTTTTAATGTGTGTGCATGTAAATCTATTTCAAGCGTCTATATCAGATTAAGACAGAGGCATGTGGGAAATCTAAGGTTTATTTGAGTTTCTTTGCATATAATTATGTATTAGATTGCATGTATGGCCTACCTACTAACTATAAATATATAAATCTATTTGATTTATTGTTTACTTTATAGAATACTAAATAAATAACAAATGTCATTATTAACAAACTCCTTTATATCTGCAATCAGATTGTTTATCTTGAAATATTTTATTTTATTTCATTTATTTATTTATTTTAGTTTATTTTGAAATGTTTGTTTGTATAAAGAATCTCTTGGGAGCAGAACCTGTACCTCTTAACCTCTGTTTTTTGAACTGTCAAATTTAAGTATTTACAGCTGACTTAAATTAGTTCATATAGGCCTATTTACATCCTTTCAAAATGTAAACATGAAAAATTTGGAAGCCCATGGGGTGTAGCCCAAGGGAAATATGAAAATTAAATGATATAATATCGCATTGTCATGCATTTGTGAGCTATGTTTCAAATTTCAAGTCTCTAGCTTATCGGTTACATCGTTTAAAATTGATATCAAAATTTGTAGGAAAGCGAGCTAATAAAAACAAGCCCATGGGGCGTAGCCCGAAAGGAAATATGAGAATTAAATGATATAATATTGCAATGTCATCCATTTGTGAGCTATGTTTCAAATTTCAAGTCTCTAGCTCATCGGGAAGTATCAAAATTTGCAAGAAATCGATTTAATAAAAACAAGCCCATGGGGCGTAGCCCAAGGGAAATATAAAATATAATTGTATAATATTGCATTGTCTTCCATTTGTGAGATATGTTTCAAGTTTCAAGTCCCTAGCTCATCGGGAAGTTAGTATAAAATCGGTTGCAAAATTTGTAGCGGACAAGAAAGCGACCTAATAAAAACGTTTTAAAATAAATCTAAATTCTAAAGAACTCAAATGTAACAGAACAGTCTAAAATTTAAATTTTTTCACTTTACATTCTGTTCAACAGGTACTTTGCTGCAGCTAGAGTACGTATTTCAAATTATACTAACAAAAGAAATACTAAGTGTAAAGATTTGATTCTAATAAAAACATTTTTTATCATGTCATTAAAATATTAACTAAGTAAAATGAAATCCAAGCATATGCAAATAATGCGTTGTTGTAGGCGGTGTCAGACGCCATGTTGGTGGAGCTGAAGCAGTGTTTCATGGAGGCATACGACGACAACCAAGACGGCAAAATAGACATAAGAGAGGTGAGTGATCGTGACAAGTAGGCCTATACGTGAAATAGACATTTTATGTAGCTTTTACAATTACTTTTACACTAAAAGGAAATAAGTTAGCTTATTTGATATTCAAAAGGAGCTACGTCTATTTTATAATTCACTTCATACAAATTCAGTCGATTAACCTATTCGTCATACTGCAGCACAATGCATTTTGCTTTCAATCCATGCATTTGGAGTTAATGAAAAAAATTGTCTTTCTAGGTAGAATAATGTTAAGCTTAAGTCGAAGACGCTCTAAATTTATTTGGTTGTGCTTTCAACCACGGATTTTTCTTAAGAAAACAGCCTGGTTTTGTTCAATAATGCTATATCATTATACACATTTATTTATGTGCTAACTTAAAGGTAGGCCTACGATAATTTCAGTAATAAAAATTAGAATTTATTGGTGGGGAACATATTTTGATCATATCTTTCAGTTGAACTTGTTTTAGTAGAACAAAAATTGAACAGATATAAAAGTTTGCCGGGTGTATCTTACACTGTTACAACGTCAAGTTGGATGCACGATGTTGTAATTTTCGTCACAATGTGTTACAGCTTGCCCAGCTGTTGCCGATGGAAGAGAACTTCCTATTGCTCTTCCGTTTCGATAACCCTCTCGAATCCAGCGTTGAATTCATGAAGGTAAAAACATCGATTACGTTTATTTTAAATGAACTTGCCTGGATGGAGGCCAGAGTGCGGGATTTTAGCACTAGAGGCCTTGGTTTAAATCGTTCCAAAGGCTTTAAATCTGTGATAGGTCTTTTAGTTTGCCATATTATTGTTTTATTTGATAGGTACACAAAATCTATAGTTTAAACTAGCTGTTACCCACGGGCTTCACCCAGTTGACTTCATAAGTGTATAGTCTGTGTATAGTCAGTGGCATTAACACAACTATTGATTGGTTAAGCTGAAATAAACAATACAAAATACAGTAATTCAAACAAATAATCACACCTGATTTTAATAAGGTAATAAATTGAAAGAATAACATACAAATAAGTACAGCTGAGGTATTTTTAACATTAGGTATATGGAAACAGGGGTGCCCACAGGGGGGTTTGATGTAGCAAAATGCGACATCAGAAATTTATTTGGGGGGGATTCTATGATTTTGAGGTGGGGGGGGGGGCCAGTGGTTGGTTAAAAGCACATACAAGATTAATCAGATAATTTTTACGACCTCCTTAATTTATTACTGGGGTAATTATGCAATCAAAATCCCGTTTGACATTTTATCTTGATTAATAAATCATTTTATAATTGCTATAAAATATATAGATACTTTTATGTGGATTCCCACTTTCTGACTCGTATCATGTTTGACAGTGAGAACAACTCCATGCCAACTGCTGTCAAAGGATTATGGTTGGCTTATTAAATTGTATCTGCAATTTGAGTTAGCTTTTACCTTTCATTATGAACTCATTCTCAAATAGTCTCATTGCCTTGAGGACCTATTGATGGTTTTTTAGGTTTGTTTATTATAATATATACTTGATTCATAAAATACCAGTATTATGATAATAATAATCATTTTGCTATTTTTACAACATGAACAACAACATGAAAGCTTGTGATAATATTTTGGCTCTCCCAAATAATTATGCCTGGGTCATTTATTCATTGGAAGAAATGACATACAGTACTGTGACAATTTAATTAAGGTTTTTGATAGGCTATGTGTTTACGTTAACTTCAAGAATTGAAACACATTATTCTGGATTAATTAAATTGTATTTGTTATTGTCTTTTCTTGAATCTAGAAAGAGCTTCAAACAAATTTTACTAGTATTAGAATAGATATATAATTATTTTTTACGCCACACTACACTATATTGACGACCTTCCCATGCAAGGATTTAGTCCAGGAAACAGCTGTTTGTCGCCATGAGTAGTTACAAGTTACAGAGTAAGTACTAATTCTGGGCAACATCTTGTACTTTGAGTCATTGGACACATCGAAAGTAGTCTGTTTAGTGTTTATGTAACTAGTTCAAACAGAATATAACTGTGCCGCAAGTTGTAAGATATTTCAAATAACTAACAAGCACACTTTACAAAAGGTTTGGGTAAATGTAGAGAGTTAACTAAATTATGGCTTTTTCATTAATAGATTTGGCGAGAATACGACACAGATGGGAGTGGATACATTGAAGCTGATGAACTAAAGGTAAGACATTTCTAAGAGACGAATAATAATATAAAAATCGTAAACACGCGAGTGAGGAGTTATCTCAGTTAAAATAAATAAAGAGAGGATTGGTTACAGTAACACGCAGTAAAATACTATCTGAATAATAATTAATTAATTAAATTTGATTTATTTTGTTATAAACAAAATAAAAAGATTATTCATAATGAAGATTTAACATATTTTTTTCTCACCGATTGGGTTAAAGGTCTGTTGACACATAGTATATTCTATAAATTGTAGTATGTAAATATGTTTTCCATTAGCTATAGCCATCAATGTTCGTAGCTTAGACACGAAAGAGTCCCATCGACGCGCATTAAATGTTTGTTTGTTTCGGTGTTTACAGAACTTTCTACGAGATCTGTTGAAGGAAGCGAAGAAGATTAATGATGTGTCCGAGGATAAACTCATTGAGTACACTGACACCATGGTGAGAATTACAATTTTGTATTTGAGGATGAGGGCGTATTTGATCACTTTTGGCAGTTTTTCTTAATTTTTTTAAAACTATAAGCTGTGTAACTTATAGTATAAGTTAGTTTAGTTGGAATAGCGAGGTGATGAACACTTCCGAATCGTACAGAGCATAGCTGAACCGTTCGCGGCAAATCGTCTGTCACTGTTGCTGTCAAAACGCCCGGGTTATTTCCTCATAATAGGTCAAATAATAGGTTAAATTGTTATGGTCCAGTTTCCAAGGTGAAGGAGATTGTAAATAGATTTATGTAAATAAATAGAAATATCATTGTTGAATTATTTGTAGAAGAAATAAGTTTTGAAGATCTTCAAGTAATTTAAATATTGGGCATAGATTACTATTTTTGTTTATGGCTCTATCTATATAGGCCTACCTGTATATTTAGAATGGCATAACATTTTTTTCTTCCTATATTTTTATTATTTTATAATGCATGGAAATAACGAGTAACATAGTTACAATATTAATTTAATTAATATTTATTATACATTTATTTATTTGGTCAATAAATTTAGATAATACTACGGATAGATACTAACAGTAATTGGAATAAGGTATGTGTTTAAAAAAGTATCTACTGACTTGTTAACATTATTTATACAAAAGTAAAAAAAAATTTTCACATATTGCATTTAATTATAAAGTATGTTTTAACATTTATTTAGAATGTTTGCCTAAATATAGGTAAATCTTTTTTTCATAATTTATTTTCCAGGATACAAATAAAGGATAATTTTTTGATAAGGATATTATATATTGAGAAAGATCGAAGGATTAGTTTGACTTAGGTATTTGCTTGATTGGATTTTTAATTAAATCTATTTAAATAACATTATGCCTAACAAGTACCTAGGTTTGCTGCTACAGGGAGGGTAATGAAGTGCGTTTTTTTAGTAAAATATCAATAGCTTAGTATAAATTAAGTTGATTTGCCAAGTTTGATGAAAATATATCCGTAAACAAGCAAACTACAACACAGCTAACTTATTCTCCTTAAGAATAACTAGGGAATTTTAAAATTTATAACTTTTTAGCGAATTTCCCTATAGGGAAGTAGCTTTTACCGTAGGTCTCATGGTAAGACCTAGGCCCGGGACCGATTTAATTTTTCATTTTGATGTCCCCAGAGACTCTATATATATATAGATATATATATAATATATATATATATATATATATATATATATATATGTGTGTGTGTGTGTGTGTGTGTGTGTCCATCCGCACGATAACTTAAACTGTCCGATTTTGATAAAATTTGGTTTGAAGGTGTAAGGCGGGATAAACTTGAATGAGTTCGTGAACCAACATGATCGGACTATGTAAACGGGGGCTTATGGGGGGTTTTATGGGATAAAAATAGGTTTTTCCCATTTTTGACCCTAAAAACGCAAGATTTCACAATTTCTTTCCAAACCATTTTGTAGAGCTTAAAAAACGAATAATTTAGTATATTGAAGCGTTATCATGCGCCTAATTGTTATGGAGAAAATTAAAAAAATGTTAATTTTAAATTCCCATGTTATTCTTATGGAGAATAAGTCAACTGTTGTAGTTTGCTTGTTTATGAACATATTTTGATAGAATTTTGAAAATACATTAATTTCTTATTAAACTACAGTACCTTTTAACATTTTACATTTAAAGAAAAACTTGTTTACCCTCCCTGTTGCAGCAAACCTAAGTACTCATTTAACTAATTCTGTTTAAATAGGGAATAAATGTGATATTTTAAGGAGACTTTTTAGTGTAAACCCAATCAGGCAAATGGAAATTCGCTAAGTCTGCAGGTTTGCTGCGTCGGGGGGTATTTAATGTTCTTCGTAACCAATAACCGTACAAAAACACTTTAATATACTATACAATTTGATTATTTAAACTTTTTTAAATGGTTTGGAGAGGAATTAGATATGTTTGTGTTTTGAGGGTCAAAAATGAGAAAATTAAATTTTTACCCCATAAAACCGAATATTTACCCCATAAAACCCCCCTGAACACCCTTTTTATGGTCCAATCATGCTGGTTTGCCGACTCATTCAAGATCGTCCCATCTAACACCTTCAAACCAAATTTAATCAAAATCGGACCAAAATGACTCAAGTTATCGCGTTCATGGACACGTTTAAATAAGTCGCGCCCCCTCCCCCCCTTTATTTCGTTAAAACGGGGGAAGCACACAGGGGACTTTTAGGGTGTGATTTTACATACCATAACAGACATCTGTGCAAAAAATTAGCTTTATATCTCGCATTTCCGGGTAAAAACCTATATTGACTGGGCTATTTTGGGTGTAAGTATAAAATGCCTATTGCAGTATACTTTTACTGAGTTCAAACTAGCTGTTGTTATGATTGCAAACAAATTAATAGTGCTGCACCCTTTTGGTAAACCTTTTAAATTTTAATGCTATTGTTTTTTTTTTTAGAATAAACTTGTCTAGTTGAACCAGCTGACAACATTCATTCTTTAATTCCTTTTAAATATACTCATAAGAATAATTATAAGATTAACATGGGAAACTATAGAGCCGCTGGGGCGGAGCCCGAAAGGATTTTTCAATATGGCTATATGTCAATCGGGAATGTGGGCTATCATCATGCCAAATTTCAGATTAATCTGACCATGCGTCAGATCAGGTTAATGCGTGATTGTACTTAAAAAAAAACACACACACACTTTCACATTTATAATTTTACTAGCAATATACGGGTACTCACCCGTCCTTCTTACGGGGTTGGCATAAAATTCTTATTGCAGTTATACTCAAGCTTTGCGTTTGTAATCGGAGAGGACAAAATAACAGTTTGATAACATTTGCTTTTTTAAATTTATGGTATACTATAATATTACACATCTACCATAGCCATAATATTTTACCACTTCACCTAAACAATAGAGAAAAATAAATTATCAAAGATTCACAAAATATCACAAATTTTTCATGAAATTGAAAACATAAACATAACTGTAAACAATCCTACTTTGACAGTTCTCATTGCGTATCACAGTTTTTTGGTGTTGCTTGGTACAAATTAGCTGTTTTCATAAATGCAAAAAAATAATAGTGCTGCACCCTGTTGTATCTTATAACTTTTTTATGCTATTGCATATCATAGAACCAACTTTTTTTAGTTGAAACAGCTGACTAAATTCTTTAATTCCCTTAAAATATAAATACTCATAAGGGTTTTTTTTTTACTTTATTTAATTTACAATCTGTTCAAGTTGAACAATAAGCAAATGATATAAATAGTAATACAAAAATAACTTGAAGAACATGAGCTAGTGATTGACCACCGTCAACACTAACAAACAAAGAGGGTTAACATGGGAAACTCTAGATCCACTGGGTCAGAGTCCGAAAGGGTTTTTGAGATAAGAATATGTCTATGTTAATCGGGAATCTGAGCTATCATCATACAAATTTTCAACCAAATCTGACCAGTAGGCCTAGTTGATATAACACACAAACATTCACATTTATAATATTAGTATGATATAATTAAATCAAAACTAAATTTTATTTGAATATTTCCAACGGATTTCCAGTTGAGATATCTTTGGTTAAAATAGCAATAGTAGTGTATTTCCATAAGATTAGAAAAAATATACAAACCAGGCTGTGAAATGTAACCCAAGATTTACACAAAACATCAAATACTTTCTTGTGACCTGAGTTTTCACAGCTTTAAGTGTTTTTATTTAAAGTTTGTATACTTATTGTGTAACTAGTTAGTTTCAATATTGGCACGTTCAATTATTTATTTAAAGTTTACAGATTCTTTTTCAGGCTAACCTAAAATACAGCATGCACAATATCGAACAGCACTTGTTATAAACAATCACTATTTATTAGGAGTTAGTTATTGTATTTATCACCTTTAGCGAAAGCTTTTTGAACATGTTATGCAGATGAAAAAGTGCAACGCTATACATAACTTTGTACCATTTTGGAGATTTAAGCTCATTATGCGTATGTTGCAGCTTCAAGTATTTGATGCCAACAAAGATGGACGACTTCAACTTTCAGAAATGGCTAAGTAAGTAAACATTGTATTTGAAAAAGAACACAAAACACAGACATCCATTCAATTATCTTAAGGAGTCTATTTCAGAATTTCCTAAACCTGAGAGTTAAAAAAGAAAACAGTTATAGATATTCTTTATTAATTGATAAAAATGAGCAAGTTTTAAAATAGTTTAGTTATATAGTCTTCAGTTATTCTTATTATTAATTATTGTCATTCTTTGAAATATTTACTGTTCACTGATTACATGTGAACTAGTTATTTGTGTAACTAGTGGTGAAAGTGGCACTTTGCTGCACACGAGAGCAATGTTTACGCACGAGCCGCAGGCGAGTGCGGAATGATCTCGAGTGCAGCAAAGGCCTTTTTCACTCGTGTTACACATTATATTTTTCCTACAGTCACTATAAAACATAAATAATTAGTCTTTCAAACACTATACAACACGTTTTTAGGTTCAGCTAGCAACACAATTACACAAATGGTGCCCTGGAGAAAGTAGTACCCGTGGTCCGTATTACTCCGCTATTTTTCCTCGGCAAGAAATGTGCTCCGTCTTTTGAGAATATAGTTCCGTATGTTTTTGTAATTTGAAGTGGTTTCCGCGCCTAAAAAAATTGCTTTAAAGGTATTTTCTTGTTTATTAAGACCGTAGGAATGTTTTAAAAACGTTTAAAAGAAAAGTCCAGAAAGTTCAGAAATACCAAAACTATAAACACGAAATGACAGGTTAAATCGTAGTTATAATAGTCAATCAGCTGTTCATAGTATTATTATCTTTAAGTGTTGCCAACCTATTTCCAAGCGTACACGGATTACGTGCATAATAAAACCACGCTGTTTTGTGTTGTTTGGTTGGAATCCTGATGTGCGGCAAAGTATAAACCGTGCGGCAAAGTATAAATATGCAGCAATTAGCAGCTTTCTGTACTATAAACAGTACAGGGAAGCCAACTTTGTCGGGTGACTGTAGGAAAATATTATTTGTTAGTTACTAGCCTATATTAAATATTAATCAATTCCATACAGTACTTACAACTATTAATTTTAAAATATTTCAGCTATGTGTTACCATTCAAAATAGATAATAAGTAAAATAATATATTGTTTACGATTTTGAAACCTTAAGCAAACTGTCTCGAGTATACGTTACGAAAACCACAACTCGATGTTTATTTATTGTTATCGCTCTGCTTTAGACTTTTAACAGTAATATGTGTTAAAGTTGTTATTGTGTAGGCTGCTACCTGTGAAGGAAAACTTCCTATGTCGGCAAGTGTTTAAGGTATGTTCTAGACTACAATACTGCACTGTTTGTTTTTTTTTTTGTGTACTTGAACAAAATAAAACCTTCCCTGTCCAGCTGTCTTAGTAATAAATGCTTTCCAAGCATTATTTTTCATCGAACAGTAAAAAAAAAACATTGTAAAATATAGTTTTTATTTCTGTGGTTTTATTTCAAATCAGTTTTCCACAACCAGGTACCGAAACCTTCTTCATACATTTTGAAAACATCATTTATCGAGTTTTGCAGTTATTAAACAGCTGGCTTATAAACAAACGCCTTTCCCTATATGAAAAATCTTTGGTTTAAACTATGAAAATAGTATATTAACTGTCAACCATAATTAATTATCATGTAATGCTTTATTAAATAATCATTGTATTAACACATTACCACAGCAGTTAGGCTTTCAATACACACACACTTCGTTGTTTATTGTTTAAAGCAAATGAAACTGTTTTCCCCGTGACCATTGTTTGCTTGTTTGTTCTTGTCTGTCAGGACGGGATGGAAGTAAGTACACGAGTTGGAGTGTTCAAGTTTATGAGATGCCGAGTTGCTGTATATATCAGCCCTAAGTCCACCATCAATTCTCACATTTTTTTTTCAAAAGGAAACAGTGGTAACCATTTGTTTCACGAAGGAAGTTTTACAAAAGCTAGTCAAATGTTTTGTCACATCAAATTATTGGCATTTTTAAAACCAACCATTGACATGTTTTGTATAATATATGATACAAAACAAGTCGTTATTATTAAATGGAACTACGTTGATTTTTGCTATTGGGGTATTTACTAAATTCATTTTATTGTTTGCATAAATTAATTTATGAAGTATTGTTCGAGTTATGGAAATATAAAATTCAATGGAGTAATAAAAATTGTAGTTTTTGACTATCCTATTTTAACGTCTTTGATATCATGAAAGTAGTTTATTTTCATGGAATTTTATTGTTTTAAAATTCTTTTTAACAAGCATAGGTTTGTCACGATTAAGAATATGTAAGAAAAAACGCGGGAACTGTCAGTATTGCAGAGAGAAATTAGGATCAAAGTAAAAACGATAAAAGTAATATTACTATTAAGATGAAATTTCGGAAAATATTTAATATTTTTACTGTTTATTGTGTAGAAAGAATAAAAAAGATTATACGTTATAATTAAGGCCCCTTAGACATTACATTTTATTAAATTAGTTGTGTAAATTAGAAAAATGTATTTTCAGTATATATAGCGGTACATGTGTGAGTAGGTGAATGTGTTCACTAAAGAATTTAAATATCTCAATATATATTAGCGTTAAAACACAGTTATATTTTGAACTCAAGGCAGGGATATCTGCGTAGGATCATGGGAATTGAAGTGGACTTTGCCAAATTAGGCTTGGCTGAAATGCATGGCTCTTAATGCGCAAAACTTGTGCGTAATGTAACAGTTTTGAAGAAAACGACATAAACTTGATAAATTCAAATATAAATAAAACGTTATAACATTCATACCTCCTTCCTTTACCTAACCTAATTTGCCCTCCCTATGATACATCGTCACTGTACAAATATGTAGCAAATTTACGTTTAACAAAACCTATTGTCATGTTACTATCACTTTAAGAGTAATAGTTTTTCCTAAGAAGAATGTTGTAGCAGTTAGTTCTCTTACTTTTCCAAATATTTTATTTTTTACTACACATCACCTCTAGGTACAAAAATATATTAATTAAACAATATACACGTTACAACGTTTTTCGTTTGGTTAAATTTCCAATACATTAAAACCTATTGAAATTGTTTACTATTTATATTCTATGACTGCATTGGTCGCTTTATACAATGTGTAAATTAAGTATTGAATCAAATCTGTATTTTTTAAACCAAAATATATAGAAATATTCTGTTTGTAGCACTGATTCTTAACAAAGGTTCCGCAATTTTTTACAAAACAAAATTGTTTAACCACTCAACTGGGTAGGGGGTGACTTTTTTTCCAAATAGCAACCTCTATTGAGTGACCCTCATTTTGAAGGGCTTTGTTCAAACTACCTCGGGTTTGCGTCATTTTATTTCTTTTGACAAACCCTTCAAAAAGATGAGTCACTCAATAGGGGTTATTATTAAACTAGGTGTGCAATGCAATTGTTTGCTTGCAATATTGAGCTGAGCTAGATTAATCCAATACTTTTCTACAGTCAATGCTACATCTGTTTCTCGCAAATGAAATATAATATATTTCATTTACTTCACTTTACTTTACTTTACTTCATTACTTTCATATTATATTATACTTGCAGTATCCAAAGTCAATTATAAGTTTGGTTATCGTAAATGAATTGTATACTTGCAGGAACCAAAGTTTATGTTTCATTTGGTTCTCATAAATTAAATGTCTACTTGCAGTATTCAATTTCAATGATATACAGTATTTGGTTCGCATAAATAGAATGCCTATTTGCAGGATCTGAAGTCAATGGTATGGTACGTCTGGTTCACTTAAATGGAATGTCTATTTACAGGTTCAAAAGTCCATGGTACGCCTGGTACACTTAAATGGAATGTCTATTTAAAGGTTCTAAAGATAATGGTACGTCTGGTTCACATAAACGAATTGTTTATGCAGTATCCAAAATCATGGCACATTTGATTAAAGTAAATTGAACTGTTCATTTGCAGTGTCCAAACTCAATGGTACATTTGGTAAAAGTAAATAAATTGTTTACTTGCAGTATCCAAATTAAATGGTACATTTGGTAAAAGTAATTAAATTGTTTACTTGCAGTATCCAAACTCAATGGTTTATTTGGTTCTCGTAAATTGCCGTAATTGTCCACCTGCAGCATCCTATTATAAGTCAATGGTTCATTTGATTTATATAAATGGAGTGCATATTTTCAGTATCCAAACTTAATAGTATCTTTGGTTCACATTAATAGAAATCATATTTGCAGTAGGTAAGTCTGCAAATATGATTTTCATTGCACCCCTTTGAATAGGTATTCAAAGTCTGCATTAATTATTTAGTCTAGTTCACGTGTCTAAATGGAAAGTCTACTAGCAGTACCCAAACTCAATGGTAGGCCTATATTTGATTCACATAAATGGAATGGCTATTTGGAGTATTTAAAGTCAATGATGCAGCAGTCTAATTCGGGTGACCCTAATTATTGGTTACTCATTTTGTAGTAAATTATGCTCCATGCTATTAATCGGATTGTTCTTTCCTTTTTCTCTGTACGGTATTTGTAATGTGCTATTTTAGATGATTCGTTGACTAACATATGATACGATTCTTGTTTACCTTTTGTTGTTTGTAATCTTGCAAATAATGGCATGGTAACCAATTAACCCATAAGGCCCATGTTAAATCTCTACATTTTAAATTCACGTAGGGAAAAGCCCTGTGGTCCGATTTGTACAATTTCAGATTTATACCTTCCCATGGTTAGTTAATATGACTGTGCTAAATTTCGTGCATATCACTTCAGCCGTTTAGGAGGAGTATTTGTAAAACAAAAGCAGGAGTGTAGTTTAAGAGCTTCGCTCAAAAATAAATCAACCGCACCCCTTACCATGTTAAAGGGGTTAAAAATTATTGTTGATGTAAAAAATTGCCAACCTATGTTAACAATCAGTTCCACAAACAGAATATATCTATCTACAGATTTGTTTCCATATGTTTGTGAATTGGTGCTTTTTCACATACATTAAATAAAATTTTGGAATACCGGTACCTGCCATTTTGGCTGGGAAACGGAAGCCTGGCGAGCTCTGGCCTTAATCCGGGGTCGAACCCTTTTACGCTTCATTAGGCTTCAGTTCGCACACCAACTAGCTTTCCCCCCAAGAATACCTCTCTCCCCAAAAAGTACCTAACCCGTGGGTAAGAGAAGAGGATGACTTTGGTGCCCCGGTTGGGGGAGGGGTGCAAAGGGCAATGGCTTTGAGGAGGAAACACTTCCGTTACTGAGAGGGCAACTGATGGGATAGTGACCTTCCTAGAATTGAATTCTTATCGTTGAGATATTAAGTTAAACAAAATGTATTGCAGCCAATTCTTTGAATCACTAGAGTAATAGCATAAAGACGATTCAGGAAATGAGCTAGCTATTTCCGTCTTGAATCAAACTTAAGCATGAGTAATATATGGACGGCTCAGGAAATTGCCAAATAGTTTCTAATACATAGTTGTTTCTAACCTTTATATTTTCTACTCCCTTAGTGCACTGTTTTATTTTACAATAAAAACCAAAAACTTAGCTGTGTTTTTTTGGGAATTTTATTATCACTTCATTATTATTGTATATTTGTTATTGTGAATATTGTTTTATATAATTTATCATCTATTTAGTCAATCAAATTCATAAGAACAATAAATAGTTTTATATACCTTGTTGAGTTCACAATAAAAGTATCTTTAATAATTAAAGTATTTAAATAATGATGATTAAATTTAAAACAATAACGCAGGCCTAGTAACTAGTGTTGCATATACAACATTCGGTTGTGAATTTTCTTGTGCTTTGCCTTGAAACAAAAATTAGTTATATATGAGCGGTCTCTGGAAGATCACGCGGGTTTGGATGAATAGTGCCTATTGATTTGTTTCTATTGTTTCCGTACAGATTGATCAGTTTGTTAAGCGAATTTTCTATTCAAAGGTATAGGCTATTAGCTATTACTGGAGATCTCGTTGTAAGACTCCCAGGACCGATTTACTTTTTCGTTTTGAAGGGTCATAACAGCCAAAAACACCACCCGTCCACATTTTTAGATATATGTCCGTCAGCACGATAACTCAAGCAAATATAATCTGATGTTGATGAAATGTGGTATAAACGTGTAAACTTTCGTTAAATAATAAAATAGGCATTTCCCATTTTTGACCCTAAAACATACAGTTTTTCTATTTCTTTCTAAACCATTTTGTAGGGCTTATAAAAAAAATCATTTAGTACCACAAAGCGTTGGTTGTACGCCTAACGGGGGGATAAAATTCAATAAAAATGGTAAAGTAAATATTACTCTTTGTTATTTTTTTTTTTTTTTATCAACTGTTGTAGTTTGCTTGTTCATTGACGGATACTAATCGGGGAAATTTGTTTATTTCATACCAAGCTATCGACATTTTAACCAGCAAACACACCTCTTTACTATCACTTTAGCAGCAAACTTAGGTAATCATTAAATCACTATCATTAGACAGTTTTAAGGGAATATTTTTGTGTAAATCTTGCTAGGTAAGCGAAAATTAGCTTAGTCTGCAGGTTTACTGCGGCGGTAGTACGTTATTTTATTATAAGATTGAATTTGTCTGTTGAAATGACATATTATGGAAGTACGTTGTTCATACAATTAAAATTTTTATAGTATTACATTCTTATCATTCGTTAGGTAGTGTTAATTTCCCCATTATGTGTAATTTTAATATTTAATTCCCTTATTAAATGTGTCCTACACTTAATTTGTCCACACATATTTGTAATTTGTAAATAAACCTAATGTTGACAAATATTCTTTTCAA